TTTCTTCTTTGGCTGTCTGCCTCTCCCTGAAACTCTTTGTCACGGGAGCCGTGGATGGATCGGTGCGGGTCTGGGACTTCTGTGGGAAACTGGTAGCTCAGTTCGACTCGGAACTGCACTTTGGCTCGCCCTGCTTCGCCAATAGTCGGGGTGACCTGCTTTTGACTTTCAACCAGAGCGTCTACATAGTACCCTGCCTGAAACTGCTCCCTTACGCTGGACTGGTGCACCTGAGCAAGCTGAGCATCAAAGACGACATCCAAGAAATGCCGAAGCCCTTCCTTCCCAGCTTCTTCTTCTTGTTTGAACTGATATTTGTCCCCAAATTTATGTCCCTGGAACAACATGTTCAGGAACTCCAGGGGCTAGACACTCTTATCAACAAACGGGCCATTGCGTTTGATGGCACTGTGCCCCATGTTGTCGAGGGGGGCAGACACGTATCCTCTCATGAGAGGCCCGGGTTGTACTTTGTGGAAGAAAAATTTGTTGAGACTTCTGACTCCAAACAGAAATATCCTTATGTTGTTCCCGCTCAGTTACGCCTGCCTGCCTGGGACGGGTTAAACATCTACCGCATGTTCCAAGCCTTCTATGGCCAAGGGCAGGAATGGCCCTTTGCTCCGGATTGCTACATCCCTAACTCAGTGATCCGTGCCCGCCTTTGGCCTGATGGTACTCCAATTTTCTTGCGTTATGATCAAAGGTTATCCCACAAAGATATGGATGCACGTGGATTATTGAGATCCCGGTCACTGTCATCCATGAGTGTAGCAGCTGAGGAAACGTCTTTAGACCAGATGGATGTGTACCATGACCAGAAGAGAGAATCCTATGGCATCCTTGAGAACATATCAAGGAAAAGCTGGATAGCACGAAAGTTTAGCGAGGGGACGGTAGAAAACTTGGTAGAGACCATTCTCAACCTCACAGTTTTCTGTTCTACCGAAAAATACAAGAAATATTTTAGTGCACTGGCAGTGATCTTTGCCAATCACCAAATCCCTTCAAAGTTGCGTATTGAGACAGCCAGCCGCCTGCTCAAAGATGTAACCCACTACAACCCTAGTATCCGAGAGCTAGCCTGGGAGATGCTCGAGAAGCTGGGCTTCATAAGCCATGTTTTTACTCTCCCACTGACTACAGGGTTGATGGACAGTGAGAAGGCTGTGCGGACTAGGGTCTTAAAACTTATGTCCAGATATACCGGCATCCAAACCAAGTCCATGCTCTTACACCAGCTGAGACGACGAGATTCCCTCCAGGAACTACAGTAAGTTGGATGAAGAGTTTCCCCCTTTATCCAGTTTCTCTTAGCTTCTTGGGTGTGGTTGCTTTCTACCCCACTTCACAACTCCTTTTATTTTCTTTTACTCTCCCTTTGTTCACAGTTCTGTTTGTTCCCAATCAAAGAAGTTGACTATTCTGTCTTCCTGTTCTTTTTTAAAAAAATTTATTATTATTTAAATATTATTTATTATTTTTATTCGCTTAATTTTTAAACTGCATACAAAATTTTATTGCACTAATGTTGTCACATAATTGGAGACTTCTCTGCTTTGTATACAATTATTCTTCCTCCCCACAGAAAGGCTCCCTGTGAGCTCATCTGCCAGCATAGTCCTGAAGTCCTGACCGAAACAGAGTAATAGAATTACCTCGGTGTTGAAAGCAGGACACTGGCAAATGACTCTTGTGCCCAGTATCAGGAATGTGTACAAACGTCTTCATTAGAAAACACTAAATTGGGCTGGAGAGATGGCTCAGAGGTTAAGAGCACTGGCTGCTCTTTCAGAGGTCCTGAGTTCAATTCCCAGCAACCACATGGTGGCTCACAACCATCTGTAATGAGATCTGGTGCCCTCTTCTGGTGTGCAGGTATACATGTAGGCAGAACACTGTATAATAAATAAATAAATCTTAAAAAAAAACAAAACACTAAATTATCCACAGGAATGGACAATGGCAGCAGTAAACCATTATATATTGTTTTGTTTTTTGTTTATTGGGTTTTTTTTTTTTTGGCTTTTTGAGATAGGGTTTCTCTGTGGCTTTAGAGGCTTTTCCTGGAACTAGCTCTTATAGACCAGGATGGTCTTGAACTCACAGAGATCTGCCTGCCTTTGCCTCCCAAGTGCTGGGATTAAAGGCGTGTGCCACCAACACCCGG